ATGTGCTAGTGCAGTGGTGATCTCTGGTGCACAACAGTGTTTGTGTGAAGTTAACTGACCTCTTGATGTTGAGTTTTGTTGCATTCCCAGTAGGTTGGTGCATGCACACATGTGCATTGTGTGTGTGCTTCCATTAAAACCTCCTTAGACCTACTCCTGTCCAGCTAAGCTGCTTATACTGAGCTAGAGAAATTCAGGAGCTGGTTGAGTCTTCCATTCCTTAGCAATTATTAATGAACAGAGGTATCTTGCACAGAGTTAATACCACTGACAGGTAGGATATATGTGTATATAATGCAACATGTTCAACTCCTTGTTAATCACTGCCTCCAGCATCTGGACTGCATTACTCCAGGTGACTCAGCTAGTTGCTACATCAGTTTTATGAGGAAAAATGTATTTCTCAGGACTAACACTAAAGTATAAAGTGCAGAGCCTGGTAGCCTGTGATCACTGGTCAGCCTTGTTTTTTCCACCCTCATGCTCCTCTGCATCTGTCTGAGAAAGCCTGCTTGTGTCTTGAGTACATTTTTCCTACCAGTTGACAAAGTGGGCTGTGTTTTTTGCAGCTACTGTAGGACATGAGCTCTGTGCTGCATGCTGGCTTTGTGTAGCCCTGTTATTTTTTCTATCATTACAGTAAACTTTCAATTTGACCCTCTGTTGACATCCTAAAATCTCTGCCCAGATTCTCAGCCAAGCGTATTTCTTTGTATCACTCCACCAGTCTAACCACTGTACTCACCCTCTCCTTTTTGGAAGGACTGGCTGCATTCCTAAGTATCAAAGGCTTAATTAAATATTTGCCCTAACACGACTGCAAGGTGTTCTCTTACAAAGCAAATGCACTCTCTTCTACCTTCTCTATTTCTTTGTTAGCTTTCAGATTATTCTTCTCAGTATCTAAATCAATGTGATCTCACAGCAGATTTGTCTAACAGGGCAATGTATGTCCCACGTGACATGAATCCTTGCTTTGAAAGTCATAGGTCTGGTTCCTGTCCAGAAAGCAGACATTCATCCCGATATACATTCTAAATGGGAATGCTAAGTACTCTGTGACCAGAAAGCAGCTTGATACATGTGTTCTGCACATCCACAATGAAAAGTAATAGAAATTGATTTCAAAGATGTGTCTGCATTTGAAAATACGTCCTTCCTTGTGTCCTTCAGGATGATCATGCAGAACAATATGTAAGGTATGTCCATCCAGGCTGGATGTGGCTCTGGGCAGCCTGATCTGGTGGTTGGTGACCCTGCACATAGCAGGGGGTTGAAACTGGATGAGCATTGTGCTCCTTTGCAACCCAGGCCATTCTGTGATTCTATGATATTTTGATTTCTTGCTAGCTCACCACCTTTAAGGATTCCTTGTGATGGGCAAACTTAGAATCATTTGAGCTGGGAGGGACTGTTACAGGTCATGCGAGTCCAATTTCCCTGCAGTGAACAGGGAATTCCCTGTGAATATCCTCATCATTCATCATTTAGGAAAAAGAGCCTGCAGAAGATCTTACTCCTTGTGGAGCCGTAACTGGAGGCCCAACAAATACCTGACAGTGCCTACAAGATCATGAACAGCCTACTTATAAGCAGATTAATTTTGCACTGTCTCCTTTTCATATAGTCCTCAGAGCCCTGCATGTGGATGCTTGCAACATAGATGGTTGGCCACAGTAAGGCAAGGGAGGGTTGGCCCATGCAGTAGCCATAAGGTATGCCTTATCTCACCCTAACATAAACTTCTGAAATAACTAAGATGAAATTATCTTACTGATTATGATGGATTTAATGAGAAGTGCTTGTTTGGGTCAAAAAGGTTTCTGTCCCTCCTTAACTGGAGGAGGAATTGGTTACCGTAGTTGGTGACTAGTAGCACAGGAGGAAATGGAGGAGACCTTCATGGAAAAAGCAAACAGGTTGTGGCTAATGTAATCTTGAAGATGGGGAGAGGAGCTTGTTGAGTCAATAAGGCATCAACAAAGGCTGGGTAGACCATCTCACTGCAACATCTCATGTGGACACGAGCAGTGCAAGCCACCTAGAGAAAGATGGGGTTGCAAATGAGGCAGAGGATGGGAGAAAATCAAGCAAGCAGTGTTGTAATGCTTCTTTTCATGCTGAAAATGTCTTGCTGATCTCTCCATGTTCCCTCTGTAGTTGGTGGGGAAAGAGGTATTTTTACAATACATCTGCTGTCCTTTATCTGTGGATGAGGCAGATCACACCTTGGATGTTCTTGACAGTATTGTCTGGATCTGCATGGCTGAAAAAAATTAAAAAGATGATTTTGTAGATATCAGCTGTCGGAGTCCCACCTATAGAGTCAGCTTGTGATTATATAGCTTTACCATTGTGTACTACTGTGGTTATATAGCTTTGTGTTGAGGGATATGGTTTAGTGAGTACTATTGGTGACAGGTGGATGCTTGGACTGGATGATCTTGAAGGTCTTTTCCAACGTTGGTGATTCTGTGACTATAGGCTCCCCGATGATCCACTTCCAACTCAGCATATTCTATGATAGTGTTGGCTTGGTCCATGCCAGGCACCCAAGTCTGTTCCAGTGCAGGACATCCTCGTGTCACAAAGGACCTCAGACTGCAATACATTATCAGCCTGTGCTCACTCTGATGCATAAATATATCTTTTTTTTGTGCTAAGTGAAAAATGCCTGCGATAGTAGCAACTGTTCAAATTGCCATATATCTCCCAGCACAGCATGAAGAATTGCTCACAGACCCCTTAAGAAAGGAGTTTTGTGAGTTGTCATTCCTGGTCTTGTACTCTGCCTCTATGCCTTGTGACTGAATGGGGCCCTGGGCAGCCTGGTCTAGTATTAAATGTGGAAGTTGGTGGCCCTGTCTGTGGCAGAGGTGTTGGAGCTTAATATCCTTGAGGTCCCTTCTGATCCAGGCCATTCTGTGATTCTGTGACATGCTCCAGCCTCAAGCCTCTGCCATTCCTTCATCATACCCATCCAGAAAGGATTCCCCAAAATTCATTACCCAAAGCAAATCCACGTTTGAGGAGCATGTAGTTGAAATGCATCAAATTTTGCTCCCCTAAATCTCACATCTCACCTGGGAGCTCCTAAATGCTGCTGAGTGCACTCCCACCAGTAAATCCCCACTGGCTGCAGATGGCCCAGGCTTTGGATGAAAGGAATGAGTGTCACTCATATCCACACAGAGGCAGGGAAAAAAACAAAGAGCAGAGGAATGACCTGGGGAGGAGGATGACACATCCCAGACACATCATTGTCAGCTCAGCTCAGTGTTACCTTCCCTGCCTGGGAGTGAAGTGCCTGCTCTGCCACCACTTTCCCCCATTGCCACCCTGCAGCAAGTCTCTGCTTGTGCCATCTGCCTTGCAGCAGGCATCTGCTGTGCATACAGATTGGCAAGCAGGAACCCATGAGGACCCCACTGCAAAATACCAATGGGTGATAGGGGAGGGGTGAGCTAATTCTGAGCAATCAGTGGGGACAAGTCTCTCGCCAAACATATGGCATCGAGAAAACACTTTTTATGCCTTCTTTTTTTTTAATTATTATTATTTTTTTTTATACCATCATGTTTCATAGCAACTGTTTTCAGCAGGAGAGAGGAGCAGGGGGGATGTGTGAGTGAGCTTGTCACTCGTGCAAATCAATTACTGCTCTAAATTCACCATGGTGCAAATGCAGAGCACCGAGGAAGAGCTGCTAATCAGATCTTCATGCCCTGGCCCAAAAGGAGCAGGGTGAAACCTAAGCAGACCCACTGAAACCAATGTATCTATTTCTGAACATCTCGGGGATGCTTAAGCAATATGGATATAGGCATATAATAAGTAATATAAGTAACGATGCAATTGATGCACTCTTCTAAATGAGTCTGGAGAACAGTGCTGGGGCAATGGCAGGTGCTAACAGAGCTCTTTGGGCAGCTGATTTCAACCCTCAGATGTTTTGCAGTTGTTTGGGCCATTGAGTGCTGGAGAGAAATTTCCTATTCATTTCTTTTTCCTCATTTTTCTTTTCTTAGGTGACTGTTCCCATTACCTGTAAGCATTAGTTCTGAGCTGCAGTGAGGACTTCACAGCAAGTTGCTGTGTTTAGTTATTTATTTTCCAAGGAGGAGCAGCCCTCCTTCTCACTTCAGCTCTCTCCTTGCATTGCAATCTAATCTGTCCATGTCATTAGCATTTACCCTCTTTTCCCTTCTTATCCTCTTCTTTTTACTTTTCTTAACTGAGCCTTTCTTCTTTTCTTAACTGAGCATTCGCAATTCTTTGTAGACTTGACTTTCTTCAGAGTCCTTTGTCAGACCCCTTCAGTTTTTTGCAACAGCTGCCAGGCCATGGGGTGATTATAATTGGATTTTGTTTACAAGAGCTACTTTTTTATCGTTATTGTTGTTTTTATTTAACCTGGGTAATCAGTTTATTCACCAGAGACTTCATTTCTGTGGGCTGGGGGAGGCAGCCCCATGTGAATGATGGGGGGACCATGATGCTCAAGTCACTCAAGATGATGTCCATCAAGGTAATGACTTTGGTGGCAAAAGTAGCATAAAAAACCCAATCACTTCTTGTTTCTTCTCCAGTTCAGATCACCTCCATCATGCTGAATCAGGGGTTTGTGGATTGCACCATAAATGAGCCACTGGGTTGATCTCAGTTCAGAATCACATTCTCATGAGTTGGTTAATGCCTGCCAAGCAGCCAGAGCATGTCCCTGTGCAGGCTTTGAAGGCCTTTTGGCTCTTCACATGGGACTTCACAGAATCACAGAATCACAGAATTGCAGGGGTTGGAAGGGACCTCCAGAGATCATCGAGTCCAACCCCCCTGCCAAAGCAGGTTCCCTACACCAGGGCTTATCCCATAAGGACTTCAAGGGCTGCAAAAAAGCAATCTCAGAGTTACACACAGAGCAAGGTTTACTGGGAATTTTGCGTGTTCACAATGGAAATGTGCTACAGATCACCACTGTTTCTTCCTTTCTTCTCTTCCAGGTAGGCTGCAAAGCCATGATGGTTTTCTTCCAGTACTGCGTCATGGCCAACTTCTTCTGGCTGCTGGTGGAAGGGCTGTATCTTCACACCCTGTTGGTCATCTCCTTCTTTTCAGAGAGGAAGTACTTCTGGTGGTACATCTTAATTGGCTGGGGTATGCATCTTCTCAGGCCTGAATGCCAGGTGGTAACCCTGGTAGGCATTTTTAACAGCAATTTAACCCCCAGTGGTCAGAGGAGCTTAACACCATTAACCTTCAAAACTATTTAAGAGCTTAGTTTGTGCTCGATTCGTTGATAGTTGAGCACCTCAGTGTCTTAAACGTCTTTTGGCTGAAACCCCTATTTGATCCTGACTGGGATCCCAAGGTTGTATTGTGCACTGACTTTAAAATGTACAGATGAACTAAGCAGGACTGCTGGATTCAACCAGACTCTGCAATCCTTTGCTCTTCTCGCCTTGCTGAGATCAGGCTAGATTGCTGTCCTGACAAGGGGAAGAGGAAGGGGAAGAAGACAAAATGAAACTTCACAAGGTTGCCCAGAGCTGAAATACTAACATACAAAATTAATCCTACTAGATAGACTTCTCTTCTTTCTCCAAAGACATCGTAAGCCATTTAGCTGGGGATGTATGTATAAGCAAGCTAAAAAGGCTTTCTGTTCTGTGCTCTCAGTAGCTGAAACTGGGAAATAATTAGAGCAGGCAAGAATCTTGAAAAGGAAGGGGAAAAAGCATTTGTGTCATTTGGAAGGTTATGCCTGGACTCAGGGTTTGACCAGTTAGCTTTACAGTAACTTCCATTGAAAGTGACAGGAGTTACACTTGGGTTCACCCTGCAAAAGAGAGGCAATTCTCCATGCTGTAAGTGTGGGGAGGGATGATGTTAGCAGGCCTGGCTTCAGATGCATCAGGTCAGACCTTCTTTAAACCTGGCTTGTGCAGAGATCCTTTCAGCACAGTGCCTCTGAAAGATCTTAAAGAGGAATGTGTGATTTGAAATCAAAGGAAATATTTTGCATTGGTAATGTGTTCTCAGGTTCTTTGGGTGAGGAAAGGCAGTGGAAGGATTTTTGGCCTTTCAGTCATCCATCATTTGCAAGAGTGTGGATCTGAAATGGATTATGCAAGAATTAATAACTTGGACATACTTGTTCTGTTTGCACTACCGTTGCGTTTGGAAATCACTGCTAATGAAGAATACTGTGATTAACCCAGAACAAAAAGACCTTTCCTACCTGGGATGTTTCCAATATAAATCTAATCAAAGACAACAAACAGAGAAAGAGGAAAAAGGGACCACAGAGATGGAGCAGGACCGCTCTCCTCAGGCAGACCATCCTGGAGTGAGGAGCAGTGGCGAAAGCATGCCTGATGGTTTGTGACAGTAACACCATCTCTCCTCTCACCAGGTGCCCCCTCCGTGTTCATCACTGCTTGGACGGTCGTCAGGATTTACTTTTTCAATGTTGGGTAAGCCTATGGACTCACTTTTCTTTCCTGCTGTGAACATATGTGCAGATTTGTGAGCAGACCCCCCACTGTCCCCTTTTGCTCCCCTGAGCCCTGTGCTGAGATCAGAGCTCCTACAGAACTGACCCTGCATACTCTAGAACACCAGAAACCTCATAAACACATCCATTAGCTCCCTCAGAAAAGCTCCAGGCAGATCTTTGGATCTGTTCTCCATCCTCTTTAACATAACAGCTGCCTTTGACACTTTATGTAAGAAATAGATAGAATACAGGTAAGCAAATGAGGCACATATTTGAGCTACCCAAGGAAACATGCAAGTAAACAGGATCTGATCCGTCATGCTTTGACTCAGTAGTCAAACTGGGGTAGTTTGAAATGCTTTTATGAGAAAACACTGCAGAGCATCACAGATTCAGGTGCTCATTATGCACTGTGCATGCCCTTGCATCATGCATTTACAGCACATGGTTAATTCCATTTTCTCCCTTGCAGTCTCTCTCCAAACGTGTCCTGATTTGTCCTTATTTCAGTAAAGGAAGCAGCTCAGATTTTTCCTTGTGTTTTTGATGTATAGTCGTGCTAACACATTTCCTTAGGACTGCTGACTTCTTCTATGGTCTCACTCTATCTGCATAAAACTGACCTTATTTACTGTGTTAATAAATAGCCTCTAAAAATGAGATAGAGACCAAAGGATTTAACCATTCTGACTACCAATTCTTCTTCCTATACATATTCCCACTCTGCTCCAGTAATTCTTAATAAAAATGCAGACTGCTTTGCAGCAGAGGCTTTAAAGCCCTGTATTTTTATGCCAAGTAAAACAGTGTGAATATACAGAATATGTTAACGCCTAACGTAGATTATTTCTTTTTGCATATTAAAATTACCAACAAAGTTGCAAGGAATTAACCCAGGTTAAATAAAACCTAATTAGGTAAGATTTGTTAAACAGCATTAAGCTTGTATTTAGAAATTTAAACTCCAAATTAAAGTGACCTTCATTCAGAATTCTTAAAAATGGAGTGCTCCAGATATAATGAGGGCCACTTTAACTGAATGAAAGGGCTGCTTGGATGCATCTAGCTGGATTTACTGGGGCTAACCCCACCACACCTTCTGTTATCTGTTTCAGAAGGGAATGTTTGTTTTTCCAGCAGTGCCAATTACTCTGTGCCCAAATAAATTCCTAGCCAGGATGATGGTCAGCATTAGAGGCCTCACTAATCCATGATTCTGATAGCACTCCCTTGGAGTGAGACCTCAATGTAGGGAAAATTAAGCAAATCTCCATCCTTCCCCATATTCACCTTGATACATTCATAGATCCATTTGAGTTGGACGAGACCTTTAAAGGTCATCTGTTCCAACTCTCCTGCAACGAACAGGGACATTTTCCAGCCCATTTTATTACCAGGGAGAAAAGCACCCACAGCCTTATATTTGGAGCAAATGTTACCTACCAGTGCTCAAAGCCACTGCAACAAAAGTCATCAGCTCTTCCCAGTGCGCACAGCTTTATCATTTTAACACAGACTATTAGGGATGGGACAGAGGGTAATGGCTTTAAACTGAAAGAGGAGAGATTATGTCAGGTGTTAGGAAGAAATTCTTTACTCAGAGGATGGTGAGGCCCTGGCATTGCTGTCCAGAGGGAGTGTGAGTGTCCCATCCCTGGGGATGTTCAAGGCCAGGTTGGATGGGCCCTGGGCAGCCTGGTCTGGTGGGGGGCAACCCTGCTTATGGCAGAGGATTGGAACTATATCTATAAAGTCTCTTCCAATCTAAGCAATTCTGATTCCGTGAGTTAAGCAAAGTACCTGGAAGGTAACAGAGCTGGTTGCTTTTTTTTAATTGATGTTTTCAGTCTGATTTATTTATTTATTTACTTACTTACTTACTTACTTATTTACTTTTTAGATGCTGGGAGGAAATAATAGAATCCCCAATCTGGTGGATCATTAAAACTCCTATTTTGGTGTCCATTTTGGTAAAGTATCAACGTATTCTTAAAGCCATCTTTAATACAAAATGGGGGGGGAGGGGGGAGGGAAGGATAGAGGTGCCTTGATAAGTATTCTGTAAAAATCCACGTAAAATGCACTGACAGATAACATTGCATTGTGTACTGAATGCCTTTCTTGGGATAAGAAGCTCAGCCTCTGGATAAGCATCTTTATCTTTAAACACTGACTTAAATGTTGTGGGAAGAGCTTGAGTGATGGGGCACTCAAGATGGAGCTCATGTAAGCCAGACCAGCTCCATCTCATCCTTTTTCTCTGGTACAGTAGCCGTGGGAGCACATAGCCAGAAGAGATCAAGGAACATACTTGGAGACCCAGGAAAAAGTCATTTTATCTAATGAATCAATGTATAAGTTAGAATTTTGCCACCAGTTTTTGTTTCTCTGAGGTCAGAGCCCAGGGTGACTTGTTCCGTTGCAGATGTGGACAATGTGAAGAAATGTGGGATGAGGCCTACCTTAAACTTCTACCTAGCTAGATGAATTCCCACAATTATTTGCCTCTTGTTGTAGCATCTAGCACAGAAGCTGGATTCCAGCTATGTATTTTTGCATTGTTCTTGAGAAGCTTGGCTAATTTCCATATAAATTGGCAAAGGTGCTTAACTCATTACTTCTCCAGATCAGTTCTTAGCAATCATGACACTTCTGAGGAACTGAGTACTTCCATCCCTGGTGAATATTATGTGTTTCCTCTGTCAAGCGTAGAGCCAAAACTTGAAAAATGAATTTGAGTTAAACTTAGCTTTGAGTTTTCTCAAATCAAGAAACATGCGTGGGAAGGGAAGGAAAAGAATACAGCAGAAATCAAAGCCAATGTGATTTTTTTTTTAAACTGAAGCCTTGTCTTAGACATACATTCTTTTTATTCCGCATACATTACGCCCTTTACAAGGAGACCTTTTCTGTAGCATTTGTCATACAGGAATTCCAAACTGAAACAGTTGGAATAATTACTTTTTATTCTTTCGCTGCACTGCAAAGAAATAAAATACTTAGATGACACATCTCAAAATATTTATGTCATCATCAAAAGACATAAATTGTATTCTCCCTTTCCCAAGATAACCTTTTAGTGCAGAAATACGCCGTACTCTCCTGGGATCAGTGATGCCATGTTTTCTTTTGGTCAGTAAATCAATTCCTCATTACCAAACAAAATCTACCTGGCAATTATCTGATTTTACTTTTGCAAGTATCATATAAATCTGTCACAAAGGAAGGCCATGATAACAGCCATATGATGAATAACAGATTTCTGCAGGCAGGAATGCTACAAATTCTGCATGTCCACTCGAATAAAGCATAGCCTCAACTGAAGGAAGATAAATATACATATATAAAGTTAAACGTTAGAAAAATCTTTCTAACCTGAAGAATTAAGCACTGAGAATTGATCAAGTGCCTTTAATTCTATTCCAAGTTGAAAAATAATCTGAACCCTTTAGTTGTTTGATAGCTGTGTCTTCTACCATGCAATGCTAAGGCCATACTAAGCCTTTAAGTCACATTCCACCTGTTTCTGTGCCCATGTCTGCTCTTAACCATGATGAGCCAACACAGTATTTAATTTCTGGCAGGAGGCTGGGAAGCAGCTCTGATCCTACCTGCAGTGGTGCAGACTGTGTGCTATCAATGCTCATTAGAGTAATAGATCTAGCTAATTCTATTTTGGATTGATAAATTTTACTTGCCATCAAGTCGGATGCTAAATATTTTATAAGCAAATAAATATGAACAGAAGCTATAATAAATGTCATGGGGTAGATAAAGAATGTTTAGGCAGTGCATCATAACCAAGAAATATAATTAATTTCCAGTCACTCTTAGCCTTGGAAAAAGAGCTGTTGTCTAAATGAGAAATAGGCTTTAGTCTGTTGCATTCACCTGTTGTTGATATAAACCTGAGAGTTGCTAGAGGAAATGTTAGAATTTGTTTTTGCAGGAAATCAGATTGGTTGGTTGACACAATCCTTCCTGCCTTTACATATATTACATTTTCAAGCTACGGCAGGGGAGATTCAGGCTGGACATGAGGAAGTATTACTTTTCAGAAAGGGTGGTCAGGCACTGCAATGGATGCCCAGGGAGGTGGTGGAGTCACCGAGCCTGGGGGTGTTCAAGGAAAGGCTGGATGTTGTGTTGAGGGACATGGTTTAGTGGGAGCTATTGGGAATGGGTGAACGGTTGGACTGGATGAGCTTTTAGGTCTTTTCCAACCTTGGTGATTCTATGATTCTATGATTCTATATCTTAAAAATCAGAGTCCTTTGTGCATTCACTAAACACTAATGGATAAAGAAACTAAACTAGACTATAAGGAAAATAAACTAGACTATAAAGAAGCTAAACTAGACGAAGGCCACACTTCACTTTTCTGTTGGATGTGTTGCGTGAATAACAGCAAGGTTCAATGGATAGGATTTTAGAAGCCAGTAATTTTTGTTCAACTCATACCATCTACTTTGTACAAAACTGCCATTCCTAGCTCTACACATTTGCTATAAAATAAGGCTAGCTTTGCTTGAGTACGTTAATGAAGCAGTTCTAGCTGAGTCTTCTGATCTAACCTTGTAGGAGAGGCAACTGTCCACTATGCTGGTGAGGTGTAACTCTTGCTATGCGTTGTCTCCAACTTCTCTCCAGAGAAGGATGCCCATCAGCACTGAGCGGAGACCTGCTTAAGTGAATACAGCTTTGTGTGTTGTGTTGGTTCCTTTGGCTCACTGCCTCGGCCTTTGACACGCTCAGCAGCCGCTCCCATGTCACCGTCTCCCAAGGGCTTTTGACGTCCGTCGCTCCGCTAACTCCCAAGGCTCCTTTCCTACCCTGTCGTCGGCAGGACGTCGTGCATAGCTGTGCTCTATGGGTTTGACATCATCATACTTGGGATGTATGACACAAAGTCCCAAGCAGGCTGATGTCAGGCCCAAGATGGCTGCCATCCTGTGTCGGTTTACTGTGTGCTCCTAGAGTGGGGTTCTCTGCTCATGGCTTTTTAACAACGGCTTGCTCCGTGGCAAAAATATTGCAGTGAAAGGCACCCCTCCTCCCCCCCTTTAACAATTTCTTCTTTTCACTGCAGAACAATGCTTCAGGGGCATGATTTTTATCTTTCTTTTTCCTGTTTCTCTCCATCCCAACAGGTGAACTTCATTCTCTTCATTTGTATCATCCGTATCTTAGTCCAGAAGTTGCATTCCCCAGATGTTGGACACAATGAAACCAGCCAGTATTCGTAAGTCCTGGGCTTTTTTTTACAGTATTGTCTGGTTTTGCAAAACCTGTTTGGCATTTAGTCAAAATACTGCATCTGTCCACATTTTTCCTCATCACAATTGTGAATTTGTTCATTTGCTAAAGATGATCAGAAACCAAGAAACGGGCCTTTCGCTGGTGGGCATGAGAGTAAGAGTAGCGTTCATGAAACAAAAAGGCCTTTCATCAGTATTTATTGGATCCTGAAGGCCGGAGGACCCTGGTGAAGAACAAAGTGTATCCATCTACAGTATAGGGGCATTTTTATCTGAAGCAATTGCCCTCAACTCATTTCTTCAGAGTAGAAACTGAGAAAATCCATGCATTCAGTAGAATCTATGGCAGTTTTTCCATACCCTAACGATGACTCCTGAACGGGATTGCGTTAATCCATCCCTACTGTACTCATTTCTCTTTGCTCTTGAGAAACAAATTTGTCTGAGGAGTTTTGCTTATCATCTAGCTTTTGTCCCGAGGATATAATGTTGACCTTACTGGGGCTCTTTATAATGAACAACAGTGCAAGTGAAATGAGAATTTGTCTCAGTGTGTAAGACTGGTCTTTGGTGCAGCATTTTAAAATTACAAGAAATCCATTTTCCTGTATGGATTTCTTATATCTTCAATGCAAATAAAATAAAAGTTCAGACATCGTCTCATTTTTACCTCCTGCTTCTGTCCTGGCTTAGCATTTCAATTATCCAGGATGCTACCAAAGGATTTCTAGAAAATAACTAAAAAGGAAGAAGAGCAGTGTCTACCTGCTCGCTGTTCATAAAATCTTCTTTACTTTTTGAGGGAGCTGTGTACTTTGAAGAATGTGAACTCAGTTCATCCTTCAGCAAGGTGGAAGACTTGAAATGAGTATAGACCTTAAATATTGACCAACCACAACTCTGTGCCTTTTTCTCTAGTGATGGTAAATCACCTATTTCATCTCCTTCCAGAGATTCTCAAATTTATAAAGGAAAATTCCAGTATCTCACCTTAACTTCTCCCTGCAGCACACAAAGCCAATGATTTCTTTTTTCATCATAACACACCAACATTACCAGACCTGTGTTTTCTATCACATCTCTATGTATTTCAAGTTGGGCAATATATATTCCCAAAACCAAGACTGCAACAGCTTTAGCAGGTAGGTAGATTAAATCATCATATTGAAATATGTTCTAGTACTTACTATGCAGCAGCCTGGGGCAGTTGGCTCCTGTTCATCTCCCTAGAAGTGCTGCCAGCCTCTCATCAGAAGGGTTATGCCCAGATTACCTAGCAGGTCATGCTGAGCTTTGAGCTCACAGCTTTTTTTGTACTTATTTTCCAGTGAAGTGTGAATTGCCAGTAAATCTTCTTTGCCTGGTAAACAAGCCTTGCATGACAGGGCAGTAAGTAACAAAGGCTTCCCCACGTTGGCCTGTCAAATAGGAACCAATTGCAGAAGGATGAATGATCTTCACATCTTCAATTCTTCACCTTCCTCATCCATTTGGAAAAGCATCTCAGCTCCATTCAGGCACAAATCAGTCACATATGGGTGTCCAAGCCATATCAGATGCCTTAGGATGTTTGATACGCTTGTCTGGATCTGGCATATATGACACTGCACCTGTGGGAGACTAGTGTGTAACTTGTGTATGTACAACCAGACTCCATGGTCTGTCTGAAAGTCTCTACTGACTGTTGACTGCAATGAGACATGAGGCACCATAGTCTCCTGTAGAAAATAATGTTAAGAGTCTCAACTTAAGGTTTGGATCCCAGCAAGGGTCCTCAACGTTTAGTGTTTAGATGGCTAGCTGTAGAGAACCTGGAGTCATCCATTGGTAGGAGGATGGTTGGACTAGATGATCTTAGAGGTCTTTTCCAACCTTGGTGATTCTGTGATTCTATGATTAAGCATGTAATCTGCAGTCTGGATCCTTTTATAAGTCATACCCCTGTTACCTGAAATGCTGCTGCTGGCTTCAGGGCTTTGTCCTGCATGACCCAGAAAGCTTACCAAAACCTGTTGGTAATGATATGCATTGGTTCCCCCTGCCACATCTGGGATAAGCAGGCTTTAAAATGACAACACTGTGAATCTCTTGTTTCCATTTCTTCCTCCTCCTCTTGTTTGTTTTATATTGTTTATATTTTAAAAATAATGTGTTGATATGTTGATAGTATTGTTCAGCTCCAAATGGTTTCAGTTTATCTGCAGGGTAGAAATTCAGGTACACTGCTGATTCACTCACTCATTAATGCTACAGGTACTGAGCTGGGCTTTAATATGTCTGAAACTGTGAAAACAGGTCTTCTAAAACAGTTTTCTGCAAATGACAGAGATTTGTGCAAGAGCAGGACAGCAATATTTGGGGCAAATAGAAGAAGCAAACACCTTATTTTCTGCAGAAGAAATGTTGAGCAAAATTCATCTCATTCCATTCTGTGCATGTTCATGATTCAATATTATCATCAAAGTTTTCTGGGCAACTTTCCATTATGTGTTCAGGAGCAAAGTGTTGTTTAACTCTTTCCTCTCCTTTGGAGAGGAACAGGTGCAGTGCTGGGTAGATGTGTTTTTCCTAAATCATCTGTCACCACATCAGAGAGGATAGGTATAAGAAGTTCACTCTGTGACAGGAGGAGAAGGTAATTAATTTTTTGAGAAACGTGGCTTCCTTCAGGTGACATTAGCCAGCCTCAGACAGCCTCCCATGCATTTATGTCTACTGCACAGCCAGTCTTTAGCTTCCTGGGAGTAACACACCACGACATATGGAAGACAGTTTTCCTTGTTGCAGTTTGTAGGGGGATTTTTCCAATTTTACAGAGCCAGACCAAACTTGCCTTGAAGATGACATAAAATCCAAAACATCACTCAGTATTCTGGGAAGCTTAGTGCTGGAAGTGAGATACTGGTCTCAGGTGTTGTGCAAGCTGGAGGATGGAACTCCTAGGGGTTAGTCTATGGACCCTGCTCATAGGCTGGTTCATGACAGTGACAGTCCTTGCTTCCTACAGGCATTCCATTTGCCTGGAATGAGTTGCAGCCAGCAGGTATTCCATGGGGAACCACAGCCTCCAAGCAGAATTTTAACATCAAACTGTCATTGGGCCTGGCCCAGGGAAAGCTGGAAAGGTCTACTGGGAGATAAGTAATAAGCTGATAAGCATCATCTGCATAAGCTGGCACATGAGCCTTTACTGCAGGTCTATACAGATGGAAAATAAATGAAGATTGTCTGGAGAGACTGAGCCAAATGGAACCAGAAGGGTTTGTAGATGGAAGAACAAGTATTCCAACACCTTTGCCTAAGCTTCAGTTTCTCCAGAAGCCTCTGGGAGAGGGGGATGCAGAAGGATGTGGGTGACCAAGAGAGCCAAAACCCCCTTAAGCATTCTGAAGTTCTTGATTTCCTTTTTTTTTTTTTTTTTTTTTTTTTTGTCAGCTAGATTCTAATAATGATTAGATTTAATAAATTATCATCTCTTCCTAATTAGACCACTCATTACCCAGCCTGATGCCATTAAGCACTAATACTGTTCATCCCCCTCCTTTGGAGACATTCATTGTGCAATAGCCTATCATTATTCTGAGCTAAACATACCATTTCTCTCCCAGAAGCTGTAATTTCCAGAAATCCTAAGCAAACAAAGAAGACACTAGATAATGGTTTAGCTTGTAGAGATGAAAAAAGATCTCCAGCAGGAGGAGAGAAAGAAATACCTCCATTGAAGTTACGGGGAATAAAGATAGCACATTTTATGTTGTCACCACATCTGAATTCACCAGCCATCTGCAGTCTGCAGGGGAAACAAACTGGGGCTGATGGCTCTCCCTCAGCTGAAGATGTGTATTTCTTTGAGAACTGTTCATGAGGTGGAAAGGGAGCAGGTGGAAGCGCTCCCAGCACAGTCCTTTGTTCCATGAACTGCTGTAGCTAGCAACTGACTGTGCTCAGCAGAAGGTCTGCTTCTATGTTCCATCACATCCCAGCCCGGGTTGTTAGAAGGATCCTGGGGAGAGTAAGCAATGGGGAACTGATCTTAGCACCCTCCTTTTTGGTATAGCCCAGACATTTCTGCTTAGTAGGTGAGGGCAGCCTGCTGACATTGCCTTGTTTGAGGATGCTATTGAAAGCCTGGATGTTCCCAGGACCTCAGAGTAGGTGGCCCACATCACATATCCCAACGAAAAGAAACATTTTAGTGTGCATGGCTGCCCTACCACGGTCATAATAATCAGCAAATAGGTACTGCATGCAGCAAGTTGAAGTTTCAGGGGTGCATAAAGTTCAGCTGCAGGATTTCTCATCAGTTTACCCTTTAGCTCCTCTTCCCTTTTCCCTTATGACTCATGTTTGTCTTTCCAACAGGAGACTGGCCAAGTCCACCTTGCTGCTGATCCCTCTCTTTGGCATTCACTACATCATGTTTGCTTTCTTCCCTGACAATTTCAAAGCAGAAGTTAAGCTGGTGTTTGAGCTCGTAGTTGGGTCATTCCAGGTAAGTCACCAAGTGGACCACGAGATTTATATATACTTTACCAGGAGTTTCTCTCTCCTTGTTTTAGGCACCTGGAAAGAAAACACACTTCTATATGCTAGTCCCCCTGGGGCTTTTTTGTACTTACAAGAGAAAATGAAGCATGTTCATCCAGTTTAGATATCATTAACACAGTAAGATGTGATGAGTAGACTTCAGGAAGAGTCTTTCTGGCCATTAATGGCATCCTAGTCTATGACCAGTTGGCTTTCATGAACTATATTTTCTGCTAAAAGAGTTCTGCCTCTAAATCCTGCCCAAGTAGGATTGCACTTCATTGGAGGAGGAGTCAGGTTCCCCACGAGGACGCATTAATCCTGAGGAAACCTTTGATGGAGTTTGCTTTGTATACGTTCCCACAAGCCTCACCTCATTCACACCCAGCGTTGGGCTGTTTACCTTGGCCTTGCTGTTGCATGAACAGAAGCACTTGTTTGTGCAATTGCATCCATCCGTCGAGCAGTTGTAGCCACTTTGTGTTCTCAATCTCTGCACAGTTCAGGTTTCCTGAGGAAAGTTGCCTCTACTATCCCACCAAATTGCCTTCGGTGCTTAAGATTGAATGGCCAGGTGTCCTGCTTAGAGCTGAAGTGATGCCTGATGGATTTAAGCACCAATTTGGAGCAAGCCTTGAAGTCAAAGCCTTGCATCTGCTCCAAGGTGCCCTAAGCAACTTTCCTCTTCTCCTTTTATAGGGAAAATGTGATCGGTTGGTTTGTAAGAGGCACCTTAGCAGTTCCCTGACATTATGCCCTTTCTCCAGGACTGCAATGGGCTTGGGTTGTGATCTAGGAGAATACAAGCTAGGCGTTGCTAAAAGCCTGCTTTCTCCTTTCCCCTAGGGTTTTGTGGTGGCTGTCCTCTACTGTTTTCTCAATGGAGAGGTAAGATCAACAATGTTGTCTGGTTAATATTTGCTGCTATGGCAAATTGAATGCTTGTGGAGAGCAGATTAAGGAGTGTCCCATTCCTGATGTTATCACACTGGGGAAACCTTCCAAGTCAAGTCACTCACCCCATGTAAACAACTCAACCATTAGCCAGAAAGTTTCCAGCGCAATCAATAAACATATTAGGACTCTAACTTATTAAATTGCTGCTGAGTCCTTCCTTTACTCATGAGACAGTATCAGCAAAACCTTGTCTAAATCCTGAATTAAAGGGAACACCTTCAGCAAGGAAGGATGCGCCCATCTTTCAAGTTCTACTCAGGTTTAGAATCTCCTGAAACCTCAACCTCGGAATCAGACCCACTGACAAAATGGAGGCTTGTTAGTGCAGTGATATTTTTGTACCACGCTCCATCTGCCAGAAAGAGACTCAGCAGAGACTGATTAAACCCAAATGGTGAAGTCTATTGGGAAGGTGTAAACAGCTGGGAACTTGGAGCTGCTGTCAGATGGAGCCTGTTCAGCTCGATAAACTGTCAGGAAGGAAACAGCTGTGCTCTGGGCTTGTGTTCCAGCTTCTGAGGAGAGGAAGAGTGTTCAGAATCAATTTGCTCTCTTAGAGCTCTGATCCTTCTTCCAGCCATGCTGATGCCACGTGGTCAACACACAGAGCCCATCTCCAGCAGGGACCTTAGCTAGTGAGCCTGTTTGGAGCAGGGCAGTGTCACACAGACTTCCTGATGGTCCAAAACCCAAACAGGACTGATGTATCTTATTATGCCCAGACCCGTGCTAGGTGAACGTATTTCCAGCTTACAGGTGTTGATCTTGACTTTCCCACATTTCCAGCACCGGAGTTTGCATTTGTGGTGTCCTGTTCTTGTGCTTGTTGAGCCCAGAGACCCTCAGAGCTGTTTTATCTAATTCATGCCACGATCCAAAACTTTGCACTCAAAGCCTGCATGAGGGGATGGGGACTGTGGCCAGATTTGTGCAGGGTTTGAACATGAATGGTGTAAACCAAATGATGTGTGTAAACACCCTGAATAGAAACAAGAAACCTCCATCAAAAAGCACAGCTGTATTGATTGCTTTACAAACAAGCTGCAGTTAAATCATTTTTACTGGGACAATAAACAATTAGATGTTGTACTGGGGAGGCATGGTTTAATGGGCAAATATTGGTGGTAGGTAGATGGTTAGACTGAGGGATCTTGGGGTCTTTTCCAGCTTGGATGATTCTACATCTATGAAAAGCAGGGCAGTAGGAAGGATCCCAGTTATACTCACACGCTGTAGCAGTTGAGTAGTCTGACATCTTCACTTTGTCAGATAAGCAACTCCCCATGCTCACCTTTCTGATTAAGCTCAAGGATTTCTGCTGAAGGAATCTACTTGCTGCAGCATTATCTCTCCCCTGTGTGACTAGCAGTTATTCCCAGGTTCAGTGACCTCTATAAACACTTATTACCCCTACGTACGCTCTCCTCTGCTGACTTGCTTATCTTTCCACCATGTAGGTCCAAGCTGAGCTCAAGAGAAAGTGGCGGAGGTGGCACCTGGAGCGGTTCCTGGGCTCAGACATGAAGTACCACCACCCTTCTTTGGGCAGCAACGGCACCAACTTCAGCACCCAGATCTCCATGCTGACCAAGTGCTCACCAAAGACACGCCGGTGCTCCAGCTTCCAGGCAGAATTCTCTCTGGTTTGATGGAGAGAGGCTCTCTGAGCACTGAGCATCCAAGAGAGAGAAGGATCCCCAGGAATCAGTTACCTATGGACAAATCCTTGTGAAATGACATGCTCCACTTGAGCCAACAGAGGACAGAAAACTGGAAAAGCCATTGGCATCCAGAACGAGATCAGACAAGCTAAGAGGCAGAGAAATACTTTTCCTCTCCCTCTTTTCAGACCTTTCTCTCTAAGTTGGTGCCCGTGGGGCTGATAATGCTGAGTAAAGGTCCCAGTCACTCGAGGAGAGCCTGGGAGATCCTAATGTGCTATAAATACTGAATTTTGGGGGTAAGGGAGGGAAGAGCCTGAGTTACTGGTGGCTTTCCCGGAACTGGCATCTCTGAAACAGATAAATTGCACTTTTTTTTTGTTGTTGTTTTAAATGAGCCAGTAAAGGACAGAGAGAGGGAGAAAGAAATGGGGGGAAAAAAATGCCAAACTTATGAATGTGCCAAAAGCCCAGTCGCTAAGAAGTGGTGATGTGGTGCTGGAAGCAGCAAGGAGAAGAACACAGGCAGGAAAGGCAGAGGCCAACCTGCACAGTGCAAAGAAGCTGCAGCACCAGGCAAGGCCCCAGAAGGATGCTCTGATGTTGGAGTGTGTTCTGCTAATTTGCTCACCATCCTCGTTAGCTGAAGCTTTCCATGTGCCATTGGGTACCCTCTGGAAAAGCAGCTTGCTGAGAAGGACCAGCACAAAATGCCCTTCTCTGTGCTGCGTTCAGGACATCAACATGCTTTGTTTGGTTGTTTTCACTGAACGGTTTGCATGTATAAAAACCAGGTACAGATGCCAACTGTGGAGTATGGCTGTGTTTTTCATACTTGTTCATTGAACCTGTAGATCTTGGTGCATTACTGCACCCAGCATTATTAGGGATTGGGGGAAAGCAATTGGTCTGCAATCCATTTGCACTTGCTTAGTGCACACTGCCAGGGGAGGGAAGATGTAGAACCCTGTAATCCTTAATTGAATCAGGCCTGACATAAGGAGCCAGTCTCCAGATGAAAAAATTAGCTTCCCAGCAGCAAGCAAAATTGCTTTCATCAAAACAAGGTTGGCTCAGCACGTAACTGGCACTCCAGGAGTCGGAAAGGAGTGAGGGAGCTATTAAATTGATTTCTTCTTCAGCTTGTGCAGGGAGCTTTCATCCTATGATAAAGGCACTGTTAGATCTTTAAGAGACGCATGTGCATTTTATGTCGTTTTTGAAGACCTATTAGTGTTCACATTGGGGCAGTCCCTGTTTGAAGGATGTACATAGAGCTTGCTGAAACCAAGGGAACTGTTATTTTTTTTTCTTTTCTTTCCTCGATGGAGGGGGGAAGGAGTGAAACCAAATCCTGCTCCGGCACACCAGGCTGGTGGTTCACAGCTCACATCACGTGAGCTCATTCCCAAGCCATGCATCCCAACCTTAGAAAACAGCCTAAGGATGCAGATGCTCATGGCTGTTTCCCACCCAACTGCATTGTATGAGGTCACATCAGTTTTACACTGGGGGTGGAAAATCTCCGACAAGCAAAGGTGTAAACTGAATAATTGGGCTGCCATTGTTCTACTCCAGCATGTTACATCAGTGTCCTTGGGAAGGAGTCTGAGTCACCAAATTAACACGTGTACATGGAAAGCAAATATGAGTGTTTTCATAGATCAGAGATCTCAACTTTTCCACTAACAGCAACTGGACTCTTCTTTCTCTCAAATTAAATTGTCGTTCCTTGAAGGGAAACATCTTTAATTTAGAGTCTTCGGGGTTTGGGGTTTTTTTTCACTTGTTTGCTTGCTTGCTTTAAGCATCTCAAATTCACTGCCGACAAACCACACTGAGCCCAGGAGGAGAATTGCAGATCAGGACATCCCATTCCTTTCTGAGTTCTGAGGGGAGGTTTTTCCTTTGCATACCTCTCCCCAGAGCTGTACTGTTGCCATCTGAGCTGGATGCTGCCAAAATACTTCCCCACATTGAGGACTGAGGACAGCACAGACAACTGACATCAGTTGATGTGAGATACTCTGATAAAACTGCTGTGAAGGGTAGGTATGTACCCACGGGTTTCCAGCCTGTCATGGAGTAATCATGGCTACCCAGCTTGGAAAACCTAGAGCAGATAGATATTTGTGAAGATAGCTGTGCTGATCCCCATGGTCCTGGTATTAAACTGCTGGCAAAACTCCAGGCTAGCCAGTCTCGGGTCATCTTTGTTCTCATTAGAATCAGAAAATCAATCATAGAATGGTTTGTGTTGGAAGAGACCTCTTAAGGATCATCTGTTTCCAACCCCCCTGCCATAGATAGGGACACGTCCCACCAGACCAGGTTGCCCAAAGCCCCATTCAGCCTGGCCTTGAGCAGTTCCAGGGATGGGGAATCCACAGCTTTTCTGAGCAATCTCAGTGCCTCACCAGCTTAAGAATAAAGAATGTCTTCCTAAGAGCTAACCTAAATTTCCCCTCTTTTAGTTAAAATTGTTCCCCCTTGTCCTACTACCATGTACAATGCTGATCTCTAAGTGGCTATGCTACAGTGAAACTATTTCATTAGCAGTCAGAATCCAAGTGCCATGAAATATTCAAAGTCCTCTCTTAGCAGCCACTCAATTCCCAAAATGCAGAGAAACATTCTCACAGGGCTCTCAGAGGCAGAGACTTGGTGCTTGGTGTTGGTTCTGCTGCTCTGAGTGCTTCCAGAGCTGGGTTAGGACTCATGCAGAAGGTGCTGGAGGACTCCCATAAGCAGTGCCAAGTCTCCCATACCAGCAACAGAGGAACTGAAGCCCAAAGCTGTTGAGAATTAAGTGGAGTACTGCTGCTGGCAGCAGGAGGTGGTCAGTGCCTGTGAGCCTGAGACACCTTGTGCATTTTTGTTCTGTGTTTCTTTTTTTTACCTTGCTTTTCTTCTCCCTGTGCTTGTGATTCCATCTGCAGGAGGAACTTCTGCCTTTCATTTACAGCTCCTCTTTATTTACAGCCCTGGGCCAGCACTATGGCCAAAGCCAGCAGGAATGGTTTTGCTCAATGGAGACATGACAGGGAAAAGTTTGGCTGCTTATTTACCCATGCAACAAGGCCTTCTGCAGCCCCTGAGCTGAACTGATTTGCACCTTCAGAACTCCATTACAATTGGTTCATCCCCACGCATCCAACTGCATCAGCATTAAGCTGTCAAGGGTCAATGAAGAGACCAAGTGAACATGCTGTGATGGGCATGGCAGAGCTGCCAGCCCAGCTGTGTTGGATTCAAATTCTGGGAGAAGAGAGGAGTCAGTGATGAAATCAAAGCTTTTCTCTCTGGGGATCTGAGCAATCAAGTGAATGAAAGAGTTTCTCTGCCCATTCTGGCTTTTGGATCAGGCCCTTGCTTAGGTGCTTAGTGCAGGAATTTGGCCGGGTAGCTTGGCCTCCTCTACTCTGAATGTGATTTTCATCCAACTCATCAATAAAATGGAGTTCAAGGACCTCACTGCAGCCCCAAATGACTGCCCAAACCGTATTGCCCAAAGCAATGCTGAGTAAATGTCCCAGTGCTCAGAGCTGTTGCTGCTTGTCACCAAGCACGAGCCTGACCAGTGGGACAGAACCAACTTCAATGAATGCAAGTGAATTATCTTAGTGAAAAAGATGATTAAGAGTCATTCCTGGATACTCTGTGCTTTTCAGATGTGTCTGAAGATAATGAGTTTGGATCCCAAAATGCTTTACAGAAATGACACCAAATTCTAACCCCTCTTGCATCCCTCAGTTCACAACCGTGACTCCTGATTTACACAAGCTGGAAACTGGAATTTGACTTCAGAAGAATTCCTTTACTTTCAGCCTGGAACTGTTTACTCCCTTTTTATATCAGTGAGAGATCAAATCCAGTCCTGTTAATTAGTCACTCAAGGTTTCAGTGAATAAACTCTTAAACAATTAGTATTAACCATGGAGCAATTAGAATATAAAAATTAAAAGACTTTCTCAAGGTCTAGAGGTGCAAGGTGCAATGCTAACATTAGGCTGTAGATATTTCTATCCAGCTGAGACCTGTATGGCTCTGTGTCCCTCTGATAAGCAGTGTGAAATATAACCATGTTTAGGGCTTGAAAAAGAGCAGTAAAGGAATTCTAGGCTGTGACTGAATTCTAGGGCATTAATTTGAAATTATTTTTTAAAAACAAGACTATATGCAGCAGCGTCGTTGCTGCAGTTTTGGAATGAAAAAGGGATTCCAAACAAGCTCAGAAGATGAAACATCTGATGTTTATTTATTTTGTTGGGTTGGATTGTGGTGGGGTTTATTTTTGGCTGATCAATGGGCAGTTGCCAGTTGGTTTATAGAAAGGAAAATGAAGTTACAAAGAAAGCTGAGGAGTGGACACTGCTTGGCTCCATTGCAGAGATTGAAGGGTTTCTTTTTGATCACCATCTCCATTCCTTCTTCCATCAGCATGGTGTTTAAATAAGGCAAAAAACCCCGTGGGATTTTTGAAGGAATCATATACTGTTGGACTAGAAAGGGGTTTCTGAGACCTGGGAGTGCCAACGTGTCATTATGAAGTGCATTTCATTCTGTCTACACAGGTTCGTGGTAGCACTTGGTTTGGTTAAAGGTCATTGGGAACACATGTGGTAGAAAAGCACAGAGCCTGACAGCAGCCCATCTTCCCTGCAAGGTGAAGGGTCTGAGCTCTCTGTGTAAAACACCTTCCTCTGCTGTGCCATCCTCTCTGCCTTCAAGTAGCTCACTGGGCTGAAGAAGGTGTTGGACTGGGCACAGCTGTCTCTGCACCAATGGCGAATATGCCGAATTCTTGGCGATAAAGACCACAGTCCAGGGCTCCATGACTCTCCACGCAGCTTTGCACTTTTCACACACCAGTATTTATGCTGGATGGGACTGTAATGCTTCTCAATTGTAGATGACCCTAGAGGAGCAGGAGACCAAGCCCTTGGCCTCGTGTGCATTCATATCAATCTGGAGTGACTCTGGTGGGATTGTAACTAGCTGGTGTTACAGGGAGTAGAACTAAATCCCAGTCTGGTACTTGGAGTCAGACATCCCAAAATCCAGAGCTGCATAGAATTCAATGTTTTTTTTCAGTCAACAAGCTTTTTTCAGTCAACGAGCAACAACCCTGTTCCCAAAGCCAGTATTTATACGCTGGTGTGATGAAATACAGTTACAACTGATCTTTTCATTTCCCCTAGAAATCTATAAAGTTACAAACCATGGCTTTCCTGGGCCACTTCTTCCACCTC